TCCACGCATCTCAAAGTTGCCAAGTTTGAAAAACACTGTTTTAGTTGATAGTTGCAGGAGGAAGAGCTGGACCACATTACATTCCCTTTGGGAGAAGTGAGTGAGGGCAGAAGGAACCCCATTATCTGCTAGCTGGCTGGCTAACATTGCAAGAACTAACGCTTTTGAATGCCAGCTGGTGAGAAATGCTTAAATAATTCACTAATTGTTAGGGAGGTGAGGAGACATAACCTTACATCTGAATACTTTAAAGAAATGTCTTTCACAAGTATGCTGTTGTAACTTATAAACACATTATCTGGATGGAATTTAAACTTTATATTAAGACTCCCTCTTCTCTAATTTTCCATCTTATATTTCAAAATTTAGAAGAGGTGAACGTGGGGCATTGGAATGGTTTTGCTACATTTCATGTTTTACTTAACTTGAACCTTTTGTTTTCAATTCACAGTTAACATCAATATAAAAGGCCCACAGTGAAGACTTTTGCTTTGTCTGGTGACGTTAATCCTTGCAAAATGCTTATTTTTAGAAGGCTGGAGAGTCAGCCAAACATGCTACAACCTACAATCTGTCTTCCTTTTTGATGGGTAAAATACGAACGTCCGTTATTTCATGTTTATTGTTAATCTTAAAAACCCCTTAGCAGTCAAGTGCATTCTAAACACAGCCATATGAATCATACCCACACTAGCTAAATCATTTAAACTCTGAACTGTTCATGCTTCGTAGTGACTCTAGGATGAGATTTTATGGTTCAATATAACGGGGAGGAAGCAAGACTGGAATTGCCAATATTAGGGAGTAAGCCCGATCTGGTGCGATGGAATTAATTAGAGATTAGTTAGAGATACCTAACTGGGAAATGTAAGGCATAAGGCATACTGAATACGAGAGGGCTTGCATAAATAAAGTGAACTTGGTTTGATAGCTCCATAGTAGTTAATCTAATCGTATTTGACTATTCAGAAGAAAGGACCCCCCCTTCTCCATCTGCACCGTTCAGCAAAGGCAGAGATACGCAGCCCTTCAGACCACTGTTTTCAAAATGTTCTGCTAATCTTCCGTTCAGAGGTCTAGCAAGAGAGATCAGTCCCTTACAAAGCAGCCTGAAGAGTAGGAAAGGGAAGGAAAAACAAAGACAGAGAGCACGAGGATGGTTATTCCCGCACTGAACTTGGACATACAGATTGCAAACCGCAGTGGTTTGCTTTGCTTGTCACTCTCAACTGAAACCTTAACCCTTCGAGGTAGGCCAAAGTCAGGAAACGGACTCCTTAAGGTGACTGGAACGCTCCCCTGTCCATATACGCTATAGCAAGGTTCCTCAACCCCTCAACCTCAGCAACTTTAAGATGTGTGGACTTCAACTCCCAGAATTCCCCCACCCGGATGCTGGGTCGGGGGTTCTTGGGGGGGTATGCCACACAAACTTAAATTGCTTGGGGTG